TCTTCTTTCTCCATCCATATATGTTACACCACATAATTAACTTTTGTCACATGTGTTTTTAGTATCTGTCACAGTACTCGGGTATTTTTGTGAAAATGACGATAACCCCATAATAATATATGAACCTCCTGCAGCCACATCTCCATGGTTTTTACCGGAGTTCAGACTGTAAAAATAGTCTACTGTCATCGAAGCGGATATGATATATACGATGTTCATATGACTATACCATTGTCGTAGGCATAGGCGGAGGCAGCCATGTTTGGCATTGTCCCGAGACAGGGGTAAATTTTGGGAGGCACAAAAATACTCCGTATGTGTTTATACTAAGGATGAAGCACAACACCAATACAACGTATTTTGTCACTATATCACAACTCATTAATTGATTATAAATGACATTAAATTAATTTATTATACTACAAATGAAATCTCAATTGGAATAGATTTCTTTTCTTCATATGGCTATTCGATTATTTGCCAGCAATCTTGAAGCAGTCTAGTGGCAACGCAAATTCCACTAGTTTTGACGGCAAGTGTAGATTTTCAACTTTGAGCTATATCAAGAACGAACTTCAAGGTCGAATTCACGGCCAATTTGCTAATGGTTGTTTAGTGAGATCCATTGAAAAGGACTTACTTAATAGTGTAGACAATGAATGCATTTTGTGTTTCTTTCAGAGTATGAAAAATCATCATGGTTGTTTGTAAAAATACTGATTGTATTAGTCGTTATCTTTTATATGTAACAATAAATTATTTAGATATTATTAATTTAATTATATTTTTATAATCCGAAAAGAGAACAGGGGCACTTTCAAATCCTGCCTCCGCCACAGTTCGTAGGATTATGCCAGAGCGGGAGAATGATGGTAGAAATATATCATTAGAGGTATGGTGGTGCTACTCAATGGTAGATAAGATTGTCAACAATCTAAAGATTCTAACTCTTTGGATTGTTGAAAATAGATTTTAAAATGTTTATTGTTTGGTAACTGTGATTGTTAACATTCAATGAAAATAAAAAAATTATTTTTATATTAAATAACGTGTTTATCCTTAATAAAAAAATTAGAGTGATTCGAGAAATATTTAAAACTTTGTTGATAAATATATTTAATATGATAAATAAATAAAACAAAGAGAAAAAATAGGAGAAAAAAAATCTCACGTATCAAGATATAGAATCTCTCTGATTATGAGAGATTTGATATCCGTAGATTTTAGAGATTTGAAATCTCTAAAGCTCAAATCCACAATACAAAAAACAACAAAAAAAAAACATAACTTTCTACAAAATCTACGGATTCAATAAATCCACGCCCTAAATCCCATTCTCCAAATTTGTGTAAACAAAAAAAAACTTTGGTAGCCGATTATTGTTTTCGAAATTGTACGTTTAGCTTTTAAGAGAAATAAATTTTAGTGAACCAAATAAATAAATTTTAGTGAAATACATAAAATACATTTTATTTAATGAAATAAATTTTTCACAATACATCATAAATAAAAATATTTTTTATAAAAATATTTTAGTTATTTATTATTATATTTCAATAAAATTTATCTAATTGAATATGTAACAAAATAATTTTTTCACAAATCATATGTTTCATGTCCCTCACTCTCTAAATTTTTTCTCTAAATTTTCCTTCTCTCTTCAGAAATAGAGGGTCATGGTGACTTTGGATCCATTCAAGTTTCATATTATGTGGTAGTTCATATGTAATTTTCAAAATTTATAGAATATTTATATATGTTATTATCAAAATTCTTGAGGGTAGGGCCATCAAGGTTTAAGCTAACTCTACTCATGCACGTAGCATTACCACTATAATATAGACTGGAAGTATATGTCTCAATTTTATTTTTTCAAAATATATCAAAGAGAATTTTTTAAGGAACACAATTAACTTTATTTTAAAGAAATATAACTCCTTAAATTAATAGGGAAAAAAATCATACATGGTTAATAATCAACTAGACCCCTCTGTGTCAAATATATATATAGGGAGAGCTTCATACCCTTCTGCCTACTTGGTGCATGTTAATTGTTAACTCAAATTATTTTTCCATTTTTCGGCAAACATGGGAAAGAATTAAGGAGACCCTTCGTTTTCTTTTTAGTTTGCAAGTTACACATTTGTATACACATTTCCACACTCCCTCATTCTTTCACATGTGTTATTACCCCTATATATATATATATATATATATATATTCGTATCATTGAACTTTTGTTTTAGACATTTTTTTTTTTACAAAATTTTAGACCATTTTACTACACGCACATGCCTGCATTTAGTGATGGCAGATGGAGGCCGACGAGTATTTTAATATTGGACGGGTAATAACCGTGTGAATACGGGACGGGACGACCTATTCTTACTTATATATTATTTGGAAAAAAAAATTATGCTAATGTGTTTCTCGGACGTTATGAGATGGGGGTCTTTCCTTTGCCTCAGGGATGGAGCCAGGATCTCGAGATCGGGGCTGAAAATAATTTTAAAAAAATATGCAACCAATGTGAAACAAACCTGTGTGCTTTAAGACATAAGTTAAGCTTGACTACCATTAGACTTCATAACTATTACATGATAAAATTTACAGAACAAGTTCTATTTATAAAATTTGTACTAAATGCCCTTAAGGACCTAGGGCCGGGACCAATTTCGGGGGGTCGGGGCCCACCCTAGCTACAATGTAGCTTCGCCCATGCTTCGCCTATCGTATGTATCGGCTTTGGAATATTATGAATATTGGATAAAGTAACAGACCTCCATTGGAAGCCCCCTAATATTCGAAAGTCCTATGTCAGAGGACCTCCCAGCTCACCATAAGAGCCGACCCTAATCACTAGGCTAAATTAGGGGTGGGCAACGGGAAACGGGTATTTGGGTATACCCATACATGTTCCTTTTTTGAGGGGTACGGGTACCCAAATACCCGTTTTATTTATTGTGGAATGAGACTTGGAATTGTAAATGTCAACATTGGGTACCTGCGGGCAACCCGCTAATACCCGTTTAAGTAATATGGGTACCCGTTATACCCAATACACATTGGTCGAAATATGAAACTTGAAACTTCGAATGAATTTGAGAGGCGGCAGCACTCTAGAAACTTCATTTTCATGTGGGTTCTTATTGTTCAATTTCATATTCATGTCATGTGGCAATTTCATTTCCATGTTGGCAGTGTGTTGTTATTCAGTTATTGTTTCCACTAAGGCACACTAATGTCGAATGAACTTGTGGTATGTGGACAGCAGCTTGAACTTTGTTTTTACAGTAGCTTATGGGGACAATTTCACTAAGGCACTGAGGGTGCAATAGCTTGAACTTATTACTTATGGGAACAATCAGTGGCGGACCCAGAAATTTTACATAGGGGTGTCCTCTTTTAAAAAATAAATTAAATACAAATAATTCTAAAATAATTAATAAAAAATAAATAATATTTAAATAAGAAATACTTTACTCATACAGTTTGAAAAAATTCACAATGTGTTTTCATATTAAAAAATAATTGTAGAACACACTTGGGGTCTACACTATTCAAAAAAAATTGTCTCTGTATATCATATTAGACAATCATTCACGAACTGATCACATATTCAATTTCTAAACTTGTTCTTGATGTAATCCAAAGTTGAAAAGACTCTTTCAATACTTGTTGTACAACCATAAATGAATACAAATTAAGGGTAGCTTGAAATTTGTTTAATTGATAGATTTTGAAAATAATTAGAGATAGAGAATGACATTATACAATTACACAGTGTTTAAAATCGAATAACATATGAGTTGTAGCCTAATGAAAATTATGTTTATTAATAATAAAAGTGTCCTAGGTTTGAATTACCCGAACTACGATTTATATTCTCAAACTCAAACTAAAAGATGAGAGTAGGATAATCACTTTTTTAAATTTAGGGGTGTCCCCGACTATCAATTATAATTTTTTTGTCAATACGTAAATTACTACCGGGCGTTGGATAATCGTTTTCCTAAAATTTAGGGGTGTCCAGGGACACCCCTAAACATCCGTGGGTCCGCCCCTGGGGACAATTACAGTAGCTCAGACTTTGTTATTTTGTTTGAAGAGCTTATGCCTTATGGGGAAAGTATGTCAATTTGTTCCAAGTGTAATTTTATTATTTTGTTCAATGCGTAATTTTGTAATTATTCCCATGTTGAACGGGTATAAATGAGTAGTTTGGGTACTCGTTATACGTCCCGTACAGATAAACGGAAAACAGGTACCCAATTCCGTCTCGTTTCCCAGCCATAGACTAAATTGTATTAACACTAATACCAAATTAGAAAATGGTTTCATTGGGAAAAAGAAAAAAAAACAGTTAACGTCACGAAGAGACCTTACCTATATTTTACATTACATATCGTCGTTGATTTATGCTTATCCTCTATTAGGATTGATTTGAAAGGAGAAGTACAAAAACGTGTCCGCTTTAAGTTGGCCGGCTACCTCCCGGTTTGACTCTCCTCCGAGAGAAAGAAAATAATTGCTTGCTTACTTCCCAACCTCCCCTCTCCTGATCCTACGGCTACCCTTCTTCCTTTCCTGCCTATACAACAAAACAAAGTACGTGCATCATTTACCTAACTGCCCTTTGTGTCCTCTTATTTTCATACACCTCATAATTAGGGTGACAATTGACCCGAATTTATGGGTATCCAATCCGATCTAACGTGGTCAAAACATGTAATAGTATTGATGGGTTTTCGTTGGATCGGATTTTACCCGCTTTTAAATTGGCGTGTTCGGCTGGATTTAATTTTTGCCAAAATTTCCAACCCATTTTTCATCCGAGCTACACTCAAACATCAAAATAACGTCATTTTGTATTACAATGTGAGTGACCGAAAAAATAATGTATAGTTATATTCATGAACCCATAACTGGACTCAATGAGTTGAGTTTGCTTTGCTCTCAAAACCCAATATATATGACCAAATTTTTTCCAATAGGGACACCCGCTAAATTGAATTTGAATTTAGAGAAATCCGACAATATGTACTCATAATTACTATTCCACGTTCTTCGTCTTCCACCAAGACTTCAGTATATAAATGAGAAGAAAGAATTAACATCCCATCCTTATCCCCACTTGATCAGTCCCCCTAACAAAACAAAACAAAAAAACTGAAGAAAGATGGTCTCTGCCACGAGCAGGGCAGCCGTCACCGGCACCAGGCTGTCGTCGGTGGTGCCGTCATCGGTCACCGGAGAGAACAAGGACCGGCACCTCACCGGCGTCGACCTGGCCATGAAGCTCCACTACATCAGGGCGGTCTACTTTTTCGACAGCAAGGCGGTGGAGGGGCTCACCATTTACGACCTCAAGAAGCCCATGTTCCCTTTGCTCCGCCTCTACTACCCTGTCTCCGGCAGAATCCGCCGGCGGGACGACGAGGACGCTCGGCTGCAGGGGAGGCCTTTCATCAAGTGCAACGACGGCGGGGTGAGGATCGTCGAGGCCCACTGCCCCGATTGGACGGTCGAGGAGTGGCTGCGGCCGACGGCAGCGGCGGACGACGGTGGTGGTGGTAGGGATGATGATCTGTTGGCGTTTGATCAAGTTCTGGGCCCTGATTTGGGGTTTTCTCCCCTCGTTTATGTTCAGGTAAATCTTAAAATTTCTCTAATTACTTGGTTGTGAACATGTATCATTTTTCACCTACCTCAACTATTTTCTTAACACAGTTAATTGCTCCTTAGTTAATTCAAGCAAATATAACTACATCATGACAACCTACTTGTTCCATAAACTTTTCCCAACTGTTATCTTCACCACGAGTATATATAACAACGATTTAGGGTCGGAAACGAGTCGGGTTGAGTTGGGTTCTGTCAAATCTAAACTCAATTCAGCAGGTATATATGGGGAAAAACTCGGGAGAAAACCCAACTGGTTCTGAAACCTCAAATCCAACCCAATTCACCGGATATCCACGGGTTAATGGATACACATTGGTTCTGATGGACAAAAAATGCATAACACCAATCTCTCGTCAAAATAAAAGTCTAACACCAATCTGGTCATAATTGTGCAAAAATACCAATCTTGTACGTACAAGAAAACCCACAAATTATCCATACAAATGGTTCAATATTAAAGATAAAAATCCACGAACAACACGATTAATCAACGGGTTTTGAGAGTTTGAGTATGGGCGGATGTCAATGGATCGGATATACCTAAACCCGAATCGAGCCAAACCTGTTTAATATTGCAACGAGTTTTAACCCGAACCCAACCCGCAATCTGTCGATACTAGTTTACCCACTTTGACTATGCTGGGTCGGGTAGGATAGGGTACCCGTGAACAAAAAATAAAATGTTTGACATAACTGACTACTCCAACTATAATTTCAATCTAATTATCAAGTAAAGAGGTGACTTGATCCATAAATATAAACTAAGAAATTGTTTGGATGAAAGAACTTTTTTTATTATGGCAAACCTGGGATGAAAGAACTTTCAAGTGGTAGAATTGTGTTTAAATTCCATTGATCAGTGGATTAGTTCAAACATATTTATCTTTTGGAATGGACAAAATAGTAAACTTAAATGCAATCGAATTTGAAATTAATTTTTCAACCCTCCATTCTTCCCTCTCAACTCTCTCTCTCGTCTTCAGTTACTGACAAACAAAAACTAACACAGTTTGTTATCTACAACCATCAAATCCAGAGAACAACATTCCTGCAGTGATAACATCGATTTGAATTCCACAACATTTTAGATCACAGCGATTTAAATTCCGCTGATTTCAACAGCACGCCATATTTGAAGATTCCTTCACCGAAAAGACCCATGATCTCACTCAAGTAAGAAGTCAACTAATTCAATACGCCAATATTGTTAACTGTGATGGGTCAGCTGGCCCAGTGTGGTAATGAAGCGATAATTGCAACAGCTGTCCAATAATTCTAGGGCTTGGAGTTAATTAAATGATGCTATCAGCTATTCAACTAATAGTATATACTATATATAATATAATAGTAACGTTGGTTGATTTTTATTGTTAAGTATTATCGAATGGATTCAAACCTAAGATATTATGGTTTAAGTGTTTAGGGCAAGCCTTTATTAGCACTTTGAATTCATCTGTATGGTCATTAATTACAACAAGTAAACGCTCTTTCCTCCGGTCCACTCACAAACAGACAGGCAGACAGAAACAACGATCGCGATCGAGAAAATGTGCTAAAAGGATCAGGCAGGAGGCCTCCTCCAGCCAATGCCCAATAAATTGAAATATCCAGAGGATATGACAGATGGTTCATTAATGATCTTGGACATTTATCTAGGTAGGCCTCTATCTGATCTAGTGGTGGAAAACGAGACGGGAGTGAGTACCCATCCTCTTTGAAACGGGTATTCAATTTCATTTGGAGATCAAAGTTCATCCCATATCCCAAACTGTACGGGTAACGGGTACCCGTTAACCTGCACGGGACGATAACGAATACCCCAACTATCCGTTAATACCCGTTCAACATGAGAACATTTACAAAATTACACATGAAACAAAATAACAGAATTACACTTAGAAACAAAATGACATAAGCATTTAAGAAATATAGCTACTGTCTCAAGCAAAGTATAGCTACTGTCCTTCAAATTGAAAATGAAGTTTGATTGAACAACAAAATAACAAGATTAACTACTGTCTCAAGCAATCAAAGAAGAAATCTAAAGACAGCTAAATCATAATTCCTTTGTGCTCTTTCTCATTTTATTCCTAAGCAACCAACACCCTTTACTTCCTTCCTTCGGTCTCGATAATGAAATATAATAAATTCTAATGGGTAATACGGGTATCAAAACTATCCAAACGGGTATTAACGGGTAACCCGCGGGTACCCAATGTTGAGATTCTTAATTCCAAGTCTCATCCCGCAACAAATATAACGGGTGTTTGAATACCCGTAACCCTCAAAAAACGAGACGGATTTGGGTATACCCAAATACCCGTTTTCCATTGTCTACCCCTAATCTAATCTGATCTGAGCAACCGCCGCATGGACCTGTTCCTTGCGCGCACCGAAACTGTACGAACTATATGTATTGTGTAGTACGAGATTCTGTCTGTTTCTTTTTCTCTTTGAGGGAGAGGCCGATCGCGACTTGCATGCAGTGGAGTAGTATTCAATGGTAACTACTAAGTACTAACCGCATTTATTTTCTATCTAGTTTCTACCTGCCAACTTTGATGAAATGAAATCCCCTAGCTAGCTCACGGTCCTACCAGCAGCTTCTCATAACTTGAGTACGTACTTGATGAGAGCGGTCTATATATGGATGTTAGTCCTTTTTTAAACCAAATTCAAATCATGAGTTTGAAATTTTTATAATGTGTTTTAAGACAACGTGGTTCGCATTAGGTGTAGTTAGGACTGATAGTCGGTTCGATTTGGTTCGGTTATAAACGGAATCATTTAGTCGGTTCTCGGTTAACTGTAACCGCATAGTAGGTTCTCGGTTATTTTGTCGGTTAACCGGATAACCGCTAACCAAGTGATTTGGCAAGGTTATACCAAATAATTTATCTGTAACATAACCAATGAAACACCGTCTCTTTTTCCAATTGTGCATTTTGGTAGTTTTTTTTTCCTAAATACGTATGTGTTATTTCTTTAAGTTGTTATTATTGAATAAAAAAATTTAACATAGATATCAATCTATAATCAACTCAATCCAACACCATTTTACCGCCAAATTTAATTAAAGAAACTGAGAAAAATAAGAAACTCAACAAAAATTACTCAACTAATAAAGACATAAACCAACCACATTACATTACATGGAAGCTTAGATGTAAATTATTGTTGTCGAGCTATATAAGCAAGCCCAACTCTCTAATGTGCTCCTTCTAAAGCCATTTCGTGAACTTATTCACATTTGAGCCAAGTAGGCAAAGGATCTTGTAGACGTTCAAACATCCCATTATTTTTTTGTCTATGCTTGCAGCCCATCGAGACCTATTATTTGTGGCTATTACTATGAAGATGACTGTAATCGATCAGTCGGTTACTAAGCGTTTAACTGTCGGTTATTAATTAGCTAAATTTAGCTACCGAGAACCGACCGTTTATTATTTAATCGGTTATCAGTGGAATCGTTAACCACTGGTTCCGGTTCGTTTATCGGTTACACCGTTAACAAGATAACCGTTTATCAGCCCTAGATGTAGTGAGAATTCGAACACATGACCTCAAAAAACAAATCAGCTCTATTATAATGTTATAAACCAATTGGTCTCATTAGTGAGGAGAAATTCTTAAGAAGGTCATTTAGAGAATGAGATTTGAAGTATATAAATTTATAGGTACAGAATAAAGTCATTTTTTCTGGTTTTATATCATAGAAATATCAAATCTCTGCTACAAATAGAGATTCACTATCCTAATTTATTAGGAATGTCCCTCCAATTATATCTAATTAAACATTGCCAAACAATCAGCTTCTATTATTTACACGTTTGACCTTGCATGCAGTTTGGGCTTTGTATTAAATATCTTACTCGGACGCGTTTGGTTTTGCATGCAGTTTACTTGGTTCAATTGTGGCGGCCTCTCAGTGGGCCTTAGCTGGGCTCACGTGCTTGGCGATCCATTCTCGGCCTCCGCCTTCCTCAACACTTGGGCCCATCTGCTGCATGGTCACGCGACTCCTGATTCCCTCCACCAACCGGGCCTCCTTGATCCATCCCCACCACGCTTCCGGCCCAACAACAAGAAGAAACCCTCCTCTCTGAAACCGGTCGACCCGGTCGGCGACTCCTGGCGAGCTGGGTCCTGGGCCAAGACCAGGACTCACACCTTCCGCCTCACAGCTCAGCAACTAAACGACGTCGTATCGAGAGCTACCGCCGGCGCAGCCCCAGCCTCCGCCGGCAAGATCTCCCGTTTCGATGTCCTGTCGGCGATCTTATGGAAATCGGTGGCCAAGCTCGGCGAGGATTCGGCCGCTGCCGGGCCGAGGACGGTGACGATCTGCTGGAACAAAACCCCGGCGGCGGGCAGGGAGCGGGAGGTTCCGAGCAACGAAATGGCGGTGGGAACGGTCCGCGCCAATTTCGAGGCGGCGAAGTCCGAGGTGTTCGAACTGGCGGAGTTGATTGCGGAGAAGAAGGAAGGCGAGAGCGATTTGATTGAGGAAGCGATGGCGGCGGAGGGCGGCGGCGGGTTCGATTGCGTGGTGTACGGGGCGAATTTGACGTTTGTGAACCTGGGGGAAGCCAAGATCTACGAGCTGGAGATGAAGGGGCGGAAGCCGATTTTCGCGAATTGCACGATTCGGGGAGTCGGCGAGGAAGGGACGGTGCTGGTGCTTCCGGGGCCGGCCGAGGAAGGAGAGGAATCCGGGAAGGTAGTGAACGTCATACTGCCGGCGAAGCAATTGGCGGGGTTGAGGGAGGAGCTGAGGAAGAGCTGGGGAATTCTGTGAAAGTTAAAACTTAAAAGTACTGATTGAGGGGGAATTCTGTGGTGCAGTAACCGCACCGGTGCCGTCTCATTGTTCTAGCCGGTTCAAATAATATAATTCTGATTGGGAATGGTTGAAACAAGAATGTTGGGTTGATCGGGTTTAGCTAGTAAATTAATTAAAAAATTCAAAGCAAAGAACGGCAGGCTAAGGGTTGCGTTGCGTCTTGCGTGGCCTCCTTTGCTCCGTCAATTTTTTCTTGGTCCCTTGGAAAGCAAGCCGACTCCGCCGATTCTCACCGGAAATCCACCACCATATCATCGAAGTTAAGCGTCTTTGCGCCAGCCAACTATGACCACCAATATCTCGACTCTCGAGCTTCTAGTCAGTCGAATCACCACCGCTTGGAATCTCGAACCCTGACTTTCCCGTTGTCTCCCCTGTTCATCGCCAGCATCATCTCTGTCGCAGCAATCCACCCCCAACAGTCCCTGACCGGCCATGATTAGTGATGGCAACTTTGTCCATACCCTTGAGTTTCTTACTATACAACCCAATTGGGTTGGGTATGAAATCCAAATAGATGGATATGGGTAGAGATTGATGGGTTTGTACCCATACCCATTTACTTTGGGTTGAGTTGGATTTATATCAAATGGATTTGGGTTTGTACCCATGCCCAAATACAAATTACAGTTTGGTACTCAAACTTAATAGATATGCATATTTAGTACCTAAATTTACTTTTTTTTTGCATATAAGTCATCAAAATATCGATGGAAAATTACGTTTTGGTACCTAAATTTTTTTGGTCTTACATTTTGGTACTTAAACTTTTCAAGTTTTACAAATAGGTCCAATTTTTGCATGTGTAGTAAAAACACCCTCAAATAAATGGATATCCATATCCAATCCATACCCATTTAGATTATGGAAGCAATATTCATACCTTACCCAAACCCATCTATAAACCCCCAAATCCATATGCACTTCACCCATACCCAACCCATTATCAATGGGTCTACTTGGGTTAGGGTATAATTACCCATGGGTGGGTAATTTGCCATCCCTAGCCATGATCACTCAGATCTCCAACGCCATCAGTCCATATCACCACCGTCATCAGCCTTGTTGCTGGTGCACAATCTTCACCAACATCGTCTCTGTCGAGCCAATCCACCATCAACATCGCCGTTGGCGTCGATCGACCATCACCACCCAGATCCCGAATCCCCTGCAGTCGATTTCACCACTGTCATCCACCCAGTTGTCGCCGCCGATCATCCCATCATCGTCTCTGTTGTGCCAATCAACCACCGTCGTCGTTGTTGCCGCTGGTCGGCCATCCCCACCCAGATCCCGACACCCTCGAAATCACCATCATCATCAAGGCTCCTCCCCTCTCTAGAATTCTTTTCGGTGGATTTTTGGAGACACGACTTTGCGATGGCAGATTATATGAATTGTGTGATCAGTTTGAGGCGAAGAAGATGAACTTTATTAGTGAAACAACCAATTCTATCGGCGGTGTTAACGTCCACATTCCTGCCGGCGGTCAAGAGAGCACGCATGTAATAGACATATAAATAATTATATAAAGGATTTAAATACAAGTAGGTTCAACCAAACAATAGGTTCAACTTAATCTAATTAAATTGTGGTTATTAATCAATCGTCCTCATTTAATACATTAAATCCATCGGCTGAAATGGTGGCGGCACTAATGCCGCGCCTGCACCACAGAAAGCGCCTTGATTGAGTAGTGATACCAACTACAAAGAAAGAAGTTGACCTTCCTACCAAAAAGAAAAAGGAAGTTGACCGGACAAGTTTTATTGTTCTACTATTGAAATTTTTTATTTTTAGTTTTAAGTAAACGTTTATGTGGAAAATGGCGGGGATTAAGGCCCAATTTGTTTTTTGATAAGGTGATTAAGGCCAATTTTGTTAGAAGCAAATCTAACGAGGCTGCCTTTTCACTTTCACTCAATGGCTCATCTCGTGTAATTGAGATAGTGAGGATTGAGGAAGTCCAGATAGTAAGATCATCTATTTTTCTTATATCATATAGGTTCGTTTGGTTTTAGTGATAGTTTAGTGGGATTGTTATAATAGGTGTATTGTCGACAATACATCGGTTTTCTAGGTTTTTCCTGCAACATCGCATGCATTGTTTTTTTTTTTTTTTTTTTACAAAAAATGAGTGATATTACTATCTCATGTAAAACTTGAGATTGTTGAGATAGTTTGGTGGGTATTGTTTGATTCTTTTTTTGTTCCAATTATATTCCTAGTTATTTATCTATATTTCCAAAATATGCTTAAACTTTTATTATCTAATACGCTCTCATTTTTTCGGGAATACCCATGCTCAGTTCCCTCCATTTTTTTGTGAATGTCTCTACCACCTGCTCAATTTAACACCCTCTTCCTTCAAAATTTTGTCATTGGTCTAGCCTCCTCAGTCTCGTCGTCGGACTAATATCTACAACTAATGTTTGTATCCTCAAGTAGAATACATGTGTCTATCTCTATGATTTAAAGAGGGAAAGAATTACTACAAATCGTTATTCGTCTATAACCCATAAAAACAAGGGTAAAATAGATATTTCATACAAAAAAGAAATACAATTTTTTAAATGCTAAAACAACTATCACCAAAACCATACGATGTAAACTACATTACATCATTTTCCCTAATTGCATGTATATTACAATGCATGCATTGACAACAATTGCATAATGATTCTAACTTATTAACAATCACGTAATAAAGCTATTCGGATTTGAAGTAAAAAAAAAAAAACAAATAGGGAAGAAGTATTTGTTTGAGTTACTCTCTTGGGGCTATTGAGTTTGATGTAAAAATTTGGGGTGGGCAACGGTTGGGTTTTGGTATTAAACTGACTCATTCGCTTACTAACAAGTTGGTGTAATTGTGATCCGCAATTCACTCACACACTATATTAGATTGAGTTGGGTTGGGTGGGTGGCAAATGGATGTGGTTGGGTTGTGGGTTAACTCACAAATGCAATTCTTCAACTAGTTATTATGCAAGTTGACTCACATTTATAATAAACTCATCACAAATTAGTAAGGCTGCATCAATTTATACACCTCCTGCTAATTTGAATTCTATAGAGATGTCTAGTACTTGTATAAAATTTCTCATTACTTCATCAACCAATTGTGTAGAGAAACTTCAGGGGTTTTTTTTTGCGACTTAGATAAAAATGTATAGTTTATAATTTTCATATCAGTATCTAATGGACATTACACCGCATAGTGACCAATAGAAGTAGCACACAAATATTCTTTATTTTTTACTTTTAGAAGTCGATAGTTAGTGTGTAGTGTCGTCATTCCCCCTACGTTGCTTGCCTTCTATTGTTGACACTTCCCCTCTCAACCATTGTGTTGTCGTCGCTCCCCCTAAGTTGCTTGCCTCACGCTACGTTCTTTGTTTCTACATCGAAGTGTGGGCTTCTTTTGTTAGGGAAGTTGCCACCTAATTCGACCCAAGGGGTTATCACCACCGTCTGCGTGTTACTCACTCTTTTCCACCTCGATTTAACTCTGGTATGCTAAGTCTGGCATACCACTTTTCCCTTCAAACCAGTTTTCAACTTCTCTCTCCTTCTTTACGCTCTCATTTTGCTCTCGCTCTGTTCGGTGGTTCTGGGTAGTTTCTGCAACTTTGGTATTGAGTTCACTCTTCTCTGTAACCTTGGTGGTTCATGCAAGGTGGATGTTGCCCTCCGGCTGCCATTGATGCATGCATAAGCTGCAAAATTGCCTGGTGATACTCGAGTGTACAACTACTCCACACTGTGGGTTGATCAAACTGTGAGTTTGTGCAAATTTCTAGTACCTGTTTTGCGTTGGGGTTTTTTTCATCCCTTCATCTTTTCATTGATGGTTTTGGCCCTTGCTTCCAGGGTACCTTCATTCACAGGGTTTCACCATCAGTAATGGCTAATGGCATCTGTACGAATTTGTCTGTTGGGAAGGTGTATGTCATTCGGTCATTTGGCCTCGACAATCCACCAAACCAATATCGGGCGTGTTCTTTCAACCTAGCGCTCAGCCTCACGCCTTCGACTTCGACTTCTTTTAAGGAGTGCACCCTTGATGACTTGATATTTGCACATGTTTTTTCCTTTGTTTCTTGATCGTTTAAGCTTGCATTATCGCTTCTTTGGCCTATTTTATGCTATGTTTTGTTCCTTTGTCACATTTCATGTCCTAGCACATAAAGTGAAGTGTAGGTGCAAGTTTCAAGTCAATTGGAGATCAAATGGCGACTCGGGGGAAGAAACTCGGGTATGACTTGAAGAAGAATGGATTTCTACCTCAGTTTGTGACCATAGAATCATGTAAGCTTGTCATGAGATCAAATGGCGACTCAGCGCCATTGTCGGGATGTTCGATTATGTATGCGTGTGAATGTTTGGCTGTATGTGTGTGCTTGGAGCCTAGTCCACTGTCCAAATTTCGATTTGAGGGCTCCAAGTACGTGTTCCTTGCATTTGCCTGCTCAGTATGCTTTGAATTGACAGTCTCTATAGTAATGTAACACTATGGAGGATGTTGATTTATTTAAGAAGTCTCCTTTCTTCTTCATATTGTGTTGGTTGATTTTGTGAATTAGTGATCTTAGGACCCTTGAATTGTGTGGTGTTGTGGACTCTCTACGTGTCATGGACTCCTGTATCATGTTTTGAAATAAAAGGTGCTAAAAAATGTGCTTTAAAATAACGTCTCCCGTGCGAATAGCGCGAAAGTGTGTAAGGGGAGACGGGAATCCGTTCCCAATTTCCACCTACTACCTCTAGCCTCCTTACATTTCTTTCCCCTGCACGAGGCTCGAGACATCCGCTCCTAGCATGGCCGGTAAGAGCCGGGCTATCGCAAAACCTCTGCTAGGTGGGAGCCCCCATTTTCTGAAAAACAGGTTGGAACCCTTGAAAAGAAAAAAATACAGAAAAACAAGAAAAAAGAAAGAAAGAAAAGGGGTTCCAACCATCTTCAAGAAGAAAATAGAGCACCTTAAAAATGTGAGTCCATCATCTTTTATTTTTGAGAGTCCATTCGTCCACGATTCATTTGTCCTCTGGTCACTATTTGCCATGATGCCGACTCGAGACTAGCGTTCTCGCCGGAGAAGCTATGAGATGACTTGTGTGTCGGTTGACCTCGTAAGCTGCTAAATGATCTAGAAAATCCTCTATCAACGATCGAGGGTGCATGTTGCTATAGAGGTCTGGAGAGATGCATTGGTTTGAGTTAGGTTTGCTTGGGGACAAGCAAACGGTTAATTGTGGGGGGATTTGATGACTTGATATTTGCACATGTTTTCCCCTTTGTTTCTTGATCGTTTAAGCTTGCACTATCACTTCTTTGGCCTATTTTACGCTAGGTTTTGTTCCTTTGTCACATTTCAGGTCCTAGCACATAAAGTGAAGTGTAGACGCAAGTTTCAAGTCAATTGGAGATCAATTGGCGACTCGGGGAAGAAACTCAGGTATGACTTGAAGAAGAATGGATTTCTACCTCAGTTTGTGACCATAGAATCATGTAAGCTTGTCATGAGAAGAAAGAGGACGTAGGTCTCATTCTTCTACCTTTTCTCGGAAGTCTATGACTATTCATAGCAATTAACTTGACACCTACGAGCGTCTGGGATCAAACGACACCTGATTTGGAGTCCGAACGAGGGAGAAACGAAGAATCAAAGATAGGGGACCCGGAAACTGCAAAAATACCCGACCGGGTATTTTGACCATCTGATAGGGTATTTTTGACAGCATCAAAAGTCCCGTCGATCCTGAAACAAAAATACCCGGCAGGGTACCCAAAATACCCGACCGGGTCGCGAACGCAGGCTGTTAAAAGCCTGTTTTGTGCGTCTTTGGAGGGGGGAGCTGGGTTTTGGATCCCAAACACCCAAGGGACGAACCAAAGAGAGATAAGGCAATTTGAGGGCATTCTTGGAGTGAAATTGGAGGATTTCTTCGTCTTGGAAGCTCGAGGAACAAGCGCGAACTTGAAGACTGATCATTTGAATATTCTTACTGCAGTCTCTCTCTTCTCTATGGAGTAACTTCCCTTCACTTAGGTTTTGAGGAACCCTAGCTATGTTTGTTTGATTGGATGATTGTATGAGTACTCCTACTTGATAATATTGAGTTCATATTCAATCTATGCATGTTTTCATGATTCAATTATGCTTTAGTCGAGATTATTGATTCTGCTTTGATCCTATGAGAGAGAATACCTGATTAGGTCAATAGAGCACCATAGATTGATAGTATTGGATCAATTTCTTTAGTCGAGGGTTGATTCACTGCTTTGTATCGATTGAGAACCTCTTTCGATAGAGGGAGTCTAGTTCAGAACGCATTGATCAGTTGTTGTAGAGAAGGATACGTCCCTCTAGGAAATCGACTCAAGAGGGCCTTGATCCTTTAGTCGATATTAAAGGTCTAGTCTATGATTCTCCGCATTGTGAATGAAAGTGAAACAAGTTAGAAATCATCAATCATTAATCTGGCTAGTGGCAAGGGGAATCATACCTAAGTGAGTTCCCAACCTGTAATTAGATTAACTTTA